CAGAACAGATTTGGAGAAATTGAGCATTACATCACTTGCTCACCAGCAAATCCTCAGCAGTGAATGGGTGCCGTCAGAGTCCAAGCAGCTGATAAAAACAAGTCTTCAGTCCATCGATTAATGTCTTGTGAAGTGAAAAGCTGTGTGTTTGTAATAACCAAATTCGTAATTAAGATGTTTTTAACCATAGTTTTTTGGACTCTCATTCTGATGGCACCCATCCACAGCTGAGGATCCATTGGTGAGCAATTTGCTCAATTTCTCCAAATCTGTTTGAACGAGGAAACAAACTCATCTACATCTTGAATGGCCTAAATGTTAGTACATTTTCCACAAATATTATTTTTCATCCTTTAAAGGAACAGTTCAACCTAAAATGGAAATTCTGTAATCATTTACTCGCCCTCATGTTGAAGAAAGAATGGCATATAGGTTTGGGCTGACATGAGGGTAAATGATGACTATTTTAATTTTGGGGTGAACTATTCCTTAAATTGTATGATATGTGTCTATACAGAAACTGTCTTTAAAGATGACATATTTACATATTTGAATTAAAACAGGCTTTTAATGGTAAACATTTGTGAATATTTGCTATTGACCAAGTAAAGAAAAAACAACCAAAATCAATCGAGTTTTAACCTACACTGGGGACTTTATCTCCGCTGCATACTCGATCTGTAGCCAGCTTTTGTCGGATCTCCCAGGCGAAAAGAGCCGGGTTCTGCCGCTTGTGCTGCGCTATGATGGAGACGACATCAGGAGTCAGGAGTCTGGGTCTGCTGCCTCCCGTTGCTTTAGGACCAATGGACCCTGTGCGCTGAAACCTGCCCAAAATCTTACTGACGCAGCCGTTGGAGACCTGCACAGAGCACGCTGTTAATCCAACATGCTGATATTCAAATAAGCACGTGGTAAAGTTAGAATTGTTGGCTACTCGGTACCTTCAGTATTCTGGAGATCTCACACGGTCTCACGCCCTCGTTCGCGAGCTCAATCATCAGTCTCCGTTTACAGACGGGTAGAGGACGGCCGTTTAGAAACACGCCGCCCAGCTGATTCACACTCCCTTCCCCTGACACATATCCATACACAAGCTACATTAGCCTATTGGGAGCTTTGCGCATTTATGATGAAGTGGAAATTCTTCCAGAACCAGCTGAACAACTTCACTCTCAGAAACAAGGTACAAAACTGGGGTGGTACAATTTTAAAAGGCATTAATA